GCGGTGGCAGCGCCGCTATAGGCTGCCACACTCAACGCTTACAAATATCGATAGCATCTCAATGTAAATACTGCATCAATTTGTCCGTTACGCGTTGACGACTGTGTGATCGGCCACGACTGCTTCCGAGTTCACACCACGCTCGCCACGTGTAAAATTGTCTGAGAAAATTTCCTATTTCGACGCTCGAATGCGAAACGCAAACGGTAAAACATAAAACTATTGCTTAATCGTCGTAACTGCGCGGAGATTTAATGACTCCTTCGCTGACATCCGAAATCGTCGGACAATAAGTGTGATTAATTGCCATTGTGTGAGAATCGAGTGGCTGGCTATTTGGCGCGGTGATTGAGGCGGCTTTTCATCCATTAATTAATATGATACGCCCCTCGCTCAATCAGAGTCGATATTTAAGGGGCGAACAGTTATATTTATGTTCAGACCATGTTAAGACGCTCCTCTGTTGATTGCGTGCAATTCACTTACTTGCCTACTTGACAAGAACGAGTTTTCTCTATTCCGTTCACTTTAGATTTTTATTAAATTCCGCCAAAATTTCTTGTGTTTTTTTTCTATTTATTCCGCGAAACATTTATAAATTCTGATTAGGTTACAGCCCTAATACAACACCATTGAGTCTCATTTCTCAAAATCGGTGGGAATAACTACGAATTCTGTGATCACCGAGCGTAATGTGAGAAAGATCTCATTCATCTATCTATGCAACGACACGTCATTACGGATTGTTCCGATCCATTAACGGTGCTTTTAGGTACCACAAGCACCGATCACCGTCCTCGTCGAACCCGTCGCTTGCGACGAAGGGCTCGACGAGCGAATTAACCCATAGACACAGCCCACTGAGTTTCTTGACGGATCTTCTGAGTAGGTCGCGTTTCCGATCCGGTGGTAGATTCTGCGAAGGATTGCTCTTGCTAGGGCCAGTGCTAGCAACACTCCGGTTGGAGCCTCGTGGGCTCACCTACATGTTAGGGCGAAGCTGAAATAGCTTCTCAAGGCTCTCAGCATAGGTAGTGAAAAAAAAAACAATAAAAATTTTACATGTTAAAATACTAAAAATATATGGTAACGTTATTTCACTTGCATCTGATAAAGCATTCAGCGTTCCCTGGTAAATATCGATAAGCGTGTTGCGAGGTATCGATAAGTGCTTTCGCAAGCTCGGCCCGTTCCTATCGGCGGGCTCTTACGGCCGCCGCCCTGTAATTTGCTGACGGAGAGTGTTGGCTATTACAGCTGATACCGTGATCATAATAAATACGCCATTAACGCCCCCATAGCACCCGAACTCTTGTCTGACAATCTAAAATTCATCTATAAAACAATCATATCGAAGTTCGTCGCATAGCCTGACTGGATTAACGTATCGACTGTAATGATAATTGATAAAGAGAGGTTAAAAATAAAAATAAAAATGAACCTTAAAAAGTTGCTTCTATGACATCCGTTTTTGCTCACCACCCTACATATTTCTAAAGTCAAATATCCCTCTCAATAAACTGGAATGCCGAAAGGTACAAGACAAAAAGAAGTAGTACTCTTAGACCCTCGACTGTCAAATAAACATATTCTCATTTCTTTCTTCCTCTCCCCCCACCCCTCTCCTCTCTGTTGATTCCTACCGAGAATCGAGCCATCCTGTCCTACGTGAGATCAAATTATTTGTAATTCTTATTTAAAAAAATGCCCTATAATATCACCCGTAATTATTGGTTTTTATTAAAATTAGACCGTGTAATAAAAATTGTATTAGCGTGTGTGGGCACTACCTGTTGTTTAGAGAAGCGCGCCGGCGCCCGAGGCTTGTCGGTGATAGATTAAATTCGACACGGCATCTCGTGATGTCATGCCGATTTTATACTTGCTCACCCCGAGCTGGCCGTGTCGTCACGCCAATTTTCTCATCTCAGACTATCACGTATCTCGTGTTCTTACAAGCAACCGATTTTATCCATGCGATCAACGGATGTATTAAAAAAACCGCAGAGTTTGGAATATTTTATACAGAGAAGACAAGCTCCAAAATGATCCATATATTAATACGTGAAGCAAAAACTTTGTATCCCTTATGAGTATGAAATTTTTCACACTTATAGAGAATATAGAGGAGAAGTGCACAATGCTATTTTTTTTTTAAATAATGCATTAAAGATACATTAAATCAATAAAGAAAACATTACACACCCTACATACAATGTATTTGACGCACACACGCATGCATACTATTTATTGTCAAACTTTTGTTCTTGACGTCTAGTGGTCAAATTGAGAATAGATTAAATAAAAAAATGTTTGTCTTTATTAATATTTTTTTTATAGTGTAGGCTTGGCGAAATTTGTGATTATAGAAGTATAAAATACAATCATAATGGTGTACAAACTTAAAATTCCAATTAATTATAGTCGGATTTCGACTACTGCGGGACCTCTAGTTCTGATTATTTTAGCACGTGCCGTTAGCGTTCGCCGTCACATTTACAGCTCTTGATATATATCTGACGCAAAAGATATAATGTCATCCTGCTAACAGCTCTTTCGATGCCGTACCTTCTCTTACTTTAACAGAATCGAATTTATTTAAAAGAGTATTTGTTTTGGGGACGATTGTAACCGTCATTTTTGTATCGTAAGTACTTTGTCAGTAATATAGTACAAATTTGTTAATATTGAGCAAAAAACAACCTTATCTTATCTTATACCTTTAAACAAGCAATTCTTGTATATATAAACGATTTTCATAAAATTTAGTATACAGAGGATTTCGGGGGCGATAAATCGATCTAGCTACGATTTATTTTCAGAAAATGTTGTTTTATTCGTGTTTTCAATAATCAACTTTATCGATAATCAACTTTATGACTCTTCCCGACATCTATTGGCGAATAATAATACTATTTTTCTTAATTGAGAGCAACGGACTGCTTTAAAGACACGACAAGATGGCGTTTTTAAGCAACCCGAAGCCAACGAGTGTTTGGTTTAAGTTGAAAATGAATTGCTTATTTATATTATTTGTGTCTTTTTAACTCACGTGTTCACTTAAATACGCCTAAACGATCTTGAAATATTTCATCATTTTATCAATATGTAATTTGTATTTAAATATAATTTCTAAAAAACACAATTTATCAATTAAAAAAAACCGAGTAAAGCTCGGTCATCGTCTAGTATGTTTTAATCCGAACATACGTATAGTTCAGTTCTCGTTCGATTCTATTAAGCAGGCGTGGAGAATTCCGCAGCCGCGGAACCTATTAAGTGCCGTAGCGATAGATTCGTAGAGTAGCGAAAATAGCACGTTAACGGGAAGCGTCCTCGGTGGCGGTCCCGGGCGCCTCCGGGAACCGATAAAGGGTGTCGCGAACTCCGGCGCAATAAACCCGGGACACGCCGAGAGAGCGCGCCTCGTTAACTTCAGCACTCGTAAACATCATTCCGGGAAACAATTGTGAACTCTATAGAGTGTAGATTAATGTAGGCAGTAGAAAAAAATATAAAAAAATATTTTTCCAGTTTTATTGCGTAAAAAGTTCCGTTATATCACAAGTCTTAAATTAGGCATGATTATAAAATTTATTTTCAATGAAAGCTCATTGTTCATTGGTGTTCATTTGGTAGCTGAGATAGAATAGATTAGAATCTACTGGTTACAGGAGCATCGTAATACCAATACCGCCTTCGACCACGAGTCAGTCAACTGTTGTACGTGCAGACTCAAAATATAGTATACCTACTACCAACACTGAATGAATTATACGGGATTTCTTTTTATGAGAAAGTGTTGTTATTTTTTTATTCTTGAAATTGTTTTTCAACGGGTGTTGAGTGCGCGTTGGCTTATTTAGAAACGTTAGTGCCTACGACCCGTCCTAGGGCATATTTGTATCTTATGACAAAAGCACATCGGGAGTAGATCTATGAACACATAAGGCTATGAATACGGCCGCGTGAGAGGCAATTAAAGTCGGATCATAGATTTTAAAATACAGAAGTGTCATCGATCTTATAGTTTATGCGTAAAAATTTAAACATAGAACAGATAAACTGGTTGAGAAAAATTGACGATTGAAGATTCAGCACAAGCAACAGATCCTTCTGATTTACAAAAAAAAAACCAGGAAATACGAATGATGACCAGTATCGCATGTGTTGTATTAAAGAAATTGTAAACAACGTTTTTGGATTGAAAAAAAAAAATGCACCTAATATATATGAACAATTTGAAATATTTAATTACTTTCATTTCTAAAGCTACGTAGCTCGCTCGCATTTCTTCGAAAACTTTTATTGACGACGTCCCGATGGGAACCGGCCCATGACGTTTCTCGGTATATTCACTTAATCCGAAACGATCGTACCTACCGGGGAACAACACTAGTTTTACCAAAACGAGAATGCGAATTTCTATTTGCACTAACTTAAGTATCGTTTCAAGGGAACTTGTTTCAGTGCATTTTCGCTGTTAAGCTAAAATTATAATATAATTTCTTTGTATGATATGTATGTTCGATTTTAGAAATAGATCGTGTTGTGTTTCCTTCTGGGTTTTCCGACCTCTTTCTGACTGCTTGGCGACATATATATTCGATCTTGGAAGAATGGGACAGCTTGTTCCAATAGAGATATTGATTTTTACTGGTGGTAGGACTTCTTGTGAGTCCGTGCGGGTAGGTACCACCACCCTGCTTATTTCTGCCGTGAAGCAATAATGCGTTTCGGTTTGAAGGGTGGGGTAGCCGTTGTAACTACGCTTGAGACCTTAGAACTTATATCTCAAGATGGGTGGCACATTTACGTCATATATGTCAATGGGCTCCAGTAACCACTTCACACTAGGTGGGCTGTGAGCTCGTCCACCCATCTAAGCACCAAAAAATTCTCAAAAACAAGTCTCACCACTTGATAGGTTCTTGAACTCCTCATAATTCCAAGAGATATAGTTCAAAACGCTTCTAACAAAAAAACTAATTCTTCCGCAGAGATCCTATGGAGTTAATGCTGATGGAACAGCAGTTACTTCGGACGCCGCTGCGGCTGTACGCCGGCGCGGGTCCCGGAGACGAGGAAGCAGAGAAGCGCGCCGCGTGGGCCCGCACGCCACCCGCGCTACAGCTGCTGGCGTTGGGAGGACGCGCGTGGTCAGGCTGGCCGCAGCCGCTTGCCGTGCCGCCGGACCTGTGGCTGCAGAAGCCCCCCGCGCTCCGCTACTGCCCCTACCCCGCCCCCTCCCGGTCCGACCATCCACCATCTCCGAGACACCCCCTATGAACTCTTGACGTGTTCTCTGTGAAATGCAATATGGAAGGTCTATGGAGCCCGCGGTATTCGAATGTAGTGCCGTGACGTCAGTAGCTCGGACATCGTCGAAGACTACATTTGAATGTATTGATGACGTCATTGATGACGTAGCGGTACCTAGAAAATTGTATGTATAACTTTAGCCGTTGTCTATAGTAATAACTAATTTACATGGTTCCTACCACAAATTGAGTAAATGATTCCAACTTCTTAATGTAAACTAATGTAGGTATATAAAAATAGTTACCTGCTGATTAGTTGGTTCGGTTCTTAGATTTATGTATTTTCGTGTATTTTGTAAATGACCTGTCTATTTAATTGTTTACTGTATATTCCATGTCTGATACCAAAGAAGTCTGAATTGCTTAAACTGTTCAATAAATAAAAATAAGAGAAATATAAAAATTAATTGTACAATAACATATAAACTAGAAAGCGCTGATAGTAACAGAGAAAGATTTATAGCAGTAAAGAAATAGCTGAAAATGCACAAACAATTCCAAGAGAGCATTTTTGTTAGACAATCCTTCGTCACAGTTGAAATCAGTAGCAAAATTTACTAATGCATCAATAAAAACAAATGAAAATGATATATGCTTGCTACACTTCACTTTGCAAGACTAATGACTGTTTTTCAAGGTCTTCAATCGAAAAGATCATCGTCCTTTGGCTGAATTTGACGTAAAACCACAGACAGCCAAAATAAACTTAATTTATCTGTCAAAAACTGCTTAAAACATTCCATAAAGTCCATCTATTGTCAATAACTACACATTTAAATTATTAGAGTATCATATTCCTACTACATATAAGTATAAACAGTGATAATTTCATCTAATATTATAAATATACGATTGTATATTAGGTATATAGAATATTAATATATAAGATATGTATGTATGTAATGTATGATGATTTAATTAAATTATTTTTGTAGCGTTTAACACTGTAAATAGCACACGTAGACATTTATAATTGAATTCGTATAGTTGAAGTAAAGGGTAGCTCGCATTGGCTCTGTTTTATTTTATGAAATGAGAAATGTAAGAATGAAATATAGATTTACCATGAAATTGACATTTGTTATTTTTTTTAATGCATTCCTAAAATTTTATTTATGTAATAAATTGAAATATTCATTTGTAGAAGAACTAGATACCTACAAGACACCTACAAGACGACAAATTAGGACATTTTTTTTGAAGAAAAAAATTCTTTTATATTCTATGGCACACGGTATGACGTCACGACTTTTGACGTTATGCTAAAGTAAAATTAAAATTTAATCGATAACACCATCAATTAATATGAGATATAATGTTTTCTTGCAGGCGTCGAAATAAAATTTGATTTTATAATAATAAACAGTAATTTATTTTGTTCTAAAAAGTTATTAATAAACTTTACTTAAAACTACTCTTAAAATTGTTGATTACCTAATATCTGTTCTGTTCACGAGCAAAATAGAAATTATGAAATTATGTCCGGGTAGATTATTAAACAAGTAAAACAAAACGAATGAAACTCATTGAATAGTCGTCAGTCACAAAATATTCGAGAAATTTCGAAGGGCAAGGTGGCCGCTATCTCGAATCAATCGATCCTTCGAGCTCGTATCTGTTGTGTTTATGGGCCATCGCTTAATACCAGATTTATCGACAAATTTACCATTAGAAATAAAAGTGTTCTAATAATCACCAAACATGACTAACTTTTGAATTTATATTAAAACATCAAATTTCTTTCCCAAAGTGACTTTTCTAAAGCTCCACATTAAAAACAAAACACATCTAAATACATATGTATTAAATCGTTCTAATTAAAATACATACATGACAAAAACCGTATCTTGATCAATTATAACAACATTATAATTTAAGAAATACATAACAGAAATAAAAACACGGCTTTAAATATTACTCATTTAAGTTTGATGAACTACAATGAAGAATATACAAAACGAAGAATAAAGATCCTATATCAATAAATATGTTACGGAGCCCATAGACACGACAAGGTAGCGTCATCCACCCAAAGAACAGGTCGAAACTGGATTAATCGGGAATCTACTAACCCACTACTTGTTTTGCAGCAGTAATAAGCATAGGTAAAAAGTAGTTTATAAAATCAAACCGAAAAAAATATAATCTGATTTCAATAGACAAAGGATTAAAAAGTGTAAATTGTTTCTTAATTTTTTAAATTCCATTAGCCGGTATAAAATATGTAGCAAAAAAAGAACGGAGAGCCCAGTACTATTTTCTTGTACAGCAACACTTAAAAATAATATTTTTACCTGAATACATTGTAACACTGTAAGAGTCAGCTGACGCACTGTAAGAGTCAGCTGACGCACTGTAATAGTCAGCTCACAAAAGATCCAATGTCAAGTATAAAACATGTGATCAACTTAATGTACTTTTGACTTCCATTCGAATCGATTATTGTTATGTATTGTAATAACTATCGCCGAATTAGATTTGAATTCAAATAATTTGTATTTGTTTTTCAATCAAAACAATTTGATTTGTTGTTCTACGTTTTTTTTTAAACAGTATTATAATTCCATAAGTATCAAGACTATTTTAATTCTGCTCGTTGTACATTAGTAATTTAAATGATAACTTGAAAATGTTGTTGAACAGATCAGTGTGAGCGATCCTCGAGAGTAGCAACACATATCGGGGTCCGCCCTAATATAAGTGTCAATAAATAAAAATCAAACGAATAGAGATGTTTTATTTTTACTTTTAGTGATATAAAACAAATATTGAAATTCAATGAATCAGTTTCACTATTTTATTATCTATAGAGGCAGTGTGCTCAAGGATTAGACCCTCGAAGTGGTCACGGAGATTATATCAAACTGAATGTCGTCACCCATCCTGTAAAGAAAGCTGAGATCTAAACCCGACATTTCAATTCCATTGTGTAACAGTTCTCTCAATTTTGAAAACAGAATGTATGATTCCATCACAGCAGTAACACTAGTTTACTACCAGGAATCTATCAAGAAATTAATACCAGGTCAAGCAGTTATACGTAGCTTCAAATTACACTACAAAAGTGGCTTGCACATATTGTTAGAATTATACATGATTTTTCTTCGATCCAACCACAGATTATTGTTGTGAAGAATTTATTGACACGAACCTGTCATCTCCTTTTTACTAGCTCTCATCGGAGTGGAGTTCATCATTATTCTTCAGCCAGTAAATATTTCTAAAGTAATACACTTATAAGAAAAATACAACAATAGACATTTTTCTTTTTTTTAAACAGTCATTTAATATTACAACTGCCATACTTTCACTTGACTGAACCATAGATTTAAATGTTATTTATCTCTATACACACCTCATTGCTGTTCGTCATTTGTCTAATTCATTATAGGCTAATTAAATATAACTGTTTATATATTAGATAAATGACAAAGTATCTACTTACGATAGAAGATATATCAAAATCTAAATTTCAAATTGGATTCTTATATAGGATTAATTTAAACATCGAATTTGATTTTTTTGTATTGCCTTTGTAGGCAGTCTAGACGGCGCACCTGATGAAAAGTAGATATCAGAAGTGCTAAGAGCAGAGCTAAGCCGGTGTCTACTGCAGAAAATATCTGTGGGAAACAAAAGTAAAGAATATCATCACAATAATAAAAATCAAAAATTATTGACAGCTCATAGACAAAGTTTTTCTCATTTTTATGCAAATATGTATAATTATAATTCTGTGGAGACGCACCTAACATTTCCTCGACCTCGAATACCCTTTAAACTGGCGTACAATATATTATCGTCACACTTTTATTTTCCAACTTTATTAAGTGTCATTAGGCATTATTAAGCGCATACATCGATGATGATCGACCTTCCGTCCGTACGTACGTAATTGCTGCCGATGTAAGCGGCCTACAAATTGAAAGCGGCCGCCGCCCCGGGCGAGTATTGATGGATCTGCTGCCATCGGGAAATTATAGCCGGCCCTTGTGACAGCTTCGCAAATTGTGCGTATAATTCTAGTAAATAATATGGCACTCGATATAAATTCGAACCGAGCTTAGAAGCTTCGAACCGAGGATCTAAGTACACGTCCGACGTCTCGCGTGAGCACGTGTGAGCGATGAATGCGAATTCCGCGCTGTCACATTCATAGTTTCAGCTATCTATGAGCCGCGGCCTTTTTATCTCCACTGTGTCAGTATAATTAATATATTGTAATAATATTGTTTAGAATTAGAATTTTTATGTCATATTAATTGAAAAGTTATTTGTATTGTGGAGTTAATCAATGTAATTATTATTATTCTGTATTAAACACTGCCACGCCTGGGAAGACGACAGGACACACTCCGGCGAGGTGGGCAACAATCGGCCGGAGCGTTAGGGACTATTGGGAGAGAAACCGGCGAACTATACGGGCATTGTCCAGCAAGACCGCTTTTTGCATTTGGGCCACCACAGACCTTTTGTTCCTACCTAAGCCTCTCGAGATTTTTTGAGAGGCTTTTAGGGACCAAACCATTCACCGATACAACTACCGGGATTATTTCTGTAGATACCACCCTCCACATATCGGTCACCTCGTGCGCCAAGTCCAAATATTTGGTCTTTTTATCTGCAATATATATAATAATAATAATAATAATTAGCGGCAATCTATTTTTATAGTGTCTTTAAAAAAAATGTATTTTTAATATCTTTTTTAAAAAATATTATGTAACTAATAAGATTTTAAATAAATATAAATAAATAATAATAATAATTTTGGTTCTCACCCAATAGCCCCTAACGCTCCGGCCGATTGTTGCCCACCTCGCCGGAGTGTGTCCTGCCGTCTTCTCAGGCGAGGCAGTGTTCGATACACTTTTTTTTTTTTTTTTTTTTTTATTGCTTAGATGAGTGGACGAGCTCACAGCCCACCTGGTGTTAAGTGGTTACTGGAGCCCATAGACATCTATAACGTAAATGCGCCACCCATCTTGAGATATAAGTTCTAAGGGTCTCAATTATAGTTACAACGGCTGCCCCACCCTTCAAACCGAAACGCATTACTGCTTCACAGCAGAAATAGACAGGGTGGTGGTACCTACCCGCGCGGACTCACAAGAGGTCCTACCACCTAAATACACATAATAATAATAATAATTATTATTATTTGCCGTACGGGCGTGCGTTTATTGTGCTTCGTTCGCTTTTGTCCGTACGTAAGGCATTAAAAGTGAAGAAATAAACCGCGACCGAGTGCTTTGCAGCGCAGATCGGCACATAAATTAGCGAGGATGCATTCTGCAGACACCGACTGATTGACTCCTTTCATTACGGTCTCGTATTGTTCCGTGCCACAGAAAAATTGCGCATCCTTTTAGAATCCCAACACATTTCATAATTATGGACTATTGTGAAACAGTTGGGACTAATTCTCCAGAGACGAACGCTCGAGAATGAGCGAGATGTATTGACCTGTGTAAAGTCAAGCTTGATCTTTTAATGGTTGGCGTTGATTAGTTTTCAAGGAAAACACTAGACCGAAGAAAGCTCTCGGTGAATTTAATGTCCTCTCCGGGCTCCTCTCGGCGCGTTATTGTTCAATCGTTTTAGAACAAATAGAAAAACATTTTTTTTTTCAAATTTAGCCATGGGTTAGGTCCACAACGATACTCTGAATTACAAAAGTTGTTGTTGCCAAGCTGACTATGGAATCTATTTCAAATGTATGTAGGTGTGTTTGTGAAAATATATGCTATATTTTTTTTTTGGATGAAGCATGAATTGTTTTCTTTGTTACAAATTGTTTAGTATTGTATTTTAAAACGTAAATCAAGCAATTTTAGTATCATGTACGAGTTTCTATACAGTACAATGAAAGCTAACGTAATTTAGCGTACTGGATCGTGACTGAATAACTCCAACGTAAACCAATCACGAAATTGCAAAGAGAAACGAAAAGACAATTGTAATATCAAACCGACGTCAATGAGAGACAATTCGCTGGTCATTACCGAAGACACGTTTCCATCAATCGAGGAAGTCTGTCCGAGCGAGCCGCCTAATCGGATTCCCGTGCCGAAC